CTTGAGATACAGATATACATACAAATTGGAAGAAGGGTTGTTGGTGAAAGAGCGAGAAGTGAAGAGAGAGAGGCAAACGTGGGGAGTCATGGACCAAGAAGTGAAGAGACCGTGCTGTATAGCTGGCTGAACCTGTGGTGGCTGTGACTCTATCCCAGTTCTTGCTCGAAGTCATATCTTTGATGATGGTTGGGCGCTTCAGTGTACTTTCACTTTCTAGCTCCGCCATAGCCATTTCTTTTTGTAGTGTTACTGGCTTCAGTGTTTTCGGAGGTTTCTTTCCTTTCGTCCCATTTCGCCTGGCCTTTCCTGACGTATTCTTGTATTTTTCAAGCTTACAGGACGTTGAAAACTTGCATGCATGCGAAGAGGCAGCGAGCTTCTACTTTGGTTTTCACTGTGTCACCATAGCATTTCTTGTTCTTTTTCTGCCTCATCTATTTTCCCGTCTTTTTTTATACTAAAAGAATTTAAGATTTACAAATGTATGAGCACAATCTTTATTTCTTAATAAGTGAGTTTTCACCTTCACTAGTTCATATTTAGACCTTCACTACATTTTATGATTTTTCATACTTAAACGTTAGGGATAATTTAAGAAACCTTCCTTGAAATTTCTAACAATTTCAGTGCTTTCTCTTGAGATTTTAGAAATATCTCTTACCTCCCCTATCGGCTATTTGGGATCCAATGATTACCTCATTGATGCTCAAATGACGTTATTACCCTTATAACATAGGAAATTTAACATGGTTATATGGAGAGAAATAATTTAGCCACTTGTACTAAATTAACCATTATTTGGAATGTAAAAATTTTGAAAATCTTGAATACTAAATTTTATAATGATAATTGTTAACATTTAAAAAAATTTTCTATATTTTAGTAGTTCTTGTAATTTCTTCCCCCAAAAAAGATTAAAATTTCTATTGAGACATTATTATTTCATAAATTTTTCATGAAAATAACAAGATGAATATGAAAACACACATGTTAAAATATGTTTACAATTAAATATTATTAAGTTACAAATAAAATGTAACTATACATAATCTATTCTTTCCTTTCTTTTCCAAAATATTTGGTATTTTTTTATTTTCTTTGTATACGTAATTCAAACAAGATGTTTGGAAATTATTTTCTTTTGCTTTAATTTACTTGTTTTTCTATTAAAATCATTTCCTTTCTATTAACCCAAACATGCTTGAAAGTTATTTTTTTTATTACAAATGATGAAAATTTCTTAGTAATCATGTGAAATAATGGACCTCATAACTAAAAGAAATAATTCAAAGAACATAACATATTTTAGCATTTTTTTTTATTTCTTCTTGTTTTTTCTTGAAGAGATATTTTTTTTTTTCCAAATCTTGTTCAAAATCTTCTGAATTCTAATACTAAGAGTTTCAAATTCCAATACAAAGAGAAATTCCCAATACTACGTGTAAATATTGATTCCAAATTAACAAAACTTCCTCTCTAATTCTTTAATTCTACTATTTTATGCAATTCTATGGAAAGTAATCATTGTTACTGAATTTTACTGTGCTTATTCTAGTGTTATAATATTCGTCACTTATATTGAGACTCTCAAACTTTAGGTCTCATTTGGGTTGCAACTTTTTAGAGTTTTTATAGAAAAATATGTGGTATCAATGTGATATATATGAAGTAAAAAGATGATTAAAAATATGTAAGAATTTTTTTTTTCACAAAAATAGTAACCCAAAAATGCTTTTAGTCTTTATTTTCTATTTTAACTAATGTTCCCTTTTTTATTATAAGTCAACCCACAAGTAATAAGGTGAAGGGCACTTTTGGAATGAAATATTCTTCTCACTCTTGAAATCATTTTTTTATTGTTGATTTTTTAGAATTGAGCTAATTTGTTACAAGAAAATTAGTTTTAAGGGAGGTTAGTGATTTTTTTAAAATTTCAAGGGATCGCAGTGAAATTGTAAAAAACCTCAAGGGAGATTTCTGAAATTATACCTAAACGTTATTATGACTTGATCAAGTGTGTCTTCCATCATAAATATATTTTCCAACACATTTTTTTTATCTTCTCAATCACCTTTTTAATTTACACACACACATATATATTACATCGTAAAAAGTACTATAATAATTATTTCAAATAATCTCCTATCCAAACAATCAACATGCTGAATTTGAAGTTTGGACAGAGGTTTTCTTATTTTTTGTAAAAGAGAAGTATATTCTTGTAAATCTTTTTTTTTCCAATGTTGATTGTTGCAAGCTTAAAGCCTCACTATTCAACCGTTGCGAACCATTCCTCAGCAAATGCAGCCTTCATTCAAGAAAAGGCCATAATTGCTGCAAGGCCGCTTTTGTCCGTTTACTATACCATCTTGAGACTTAAATCAGGAAGTACATAGAAAAGAAATATACTGTAGTACTTGTTACTGTAGAAAAGAAATATACTGTAGAAAAGAAAGTAGTCATTGTTACTGAATTTTACTATGCTTATGCTAGTGTTATAATATTCCTCACTTTAATTGAGCCTCTCAAACTTTAGGTCTCATTTGGATTGCGACTATTTAGAATTTTTATAGAAAAATATGCTGTACCAATGTGATATTTATATGAAGTAAAAAATGATTAAAAATATGTAAGAAATTTTTTTCACAAAAATAGTAACCCAAAAATGGTTTTAGTCTTTATTTTCTATTTTAACTAATATTTCCTTTTGATTATAAGTCAACCCACTAGTAATAAGGTGAAGGGTACTTTTGGAATGAAATATTCTTCTCACTCTTGAAATCATTTTTTATTGTTGATTTTTTAAAATTGAGCTAATTTGTTATGAGAAAATTAGTTTCAAGGGAGGTTAGTGAGATTTTTAAAACTTCAATGGATAGCAATGAAATTGTAATAAACCTCAAGGGAGGTTTCTGAAATTATCCCTAAACATTATTATGACTTGATCAATTGTGTCCTCCATCATAAATATATTTTCCAACACACTTTTGTTTTAGCTTATCAATTACCTTTTTATCTCACATATATATCACATCATAAAATTTACTACAGTAACTATTTCAAATAATCTCTTTTTTTTTTTTTCAAATAATCTCCTATCCAAACAACATCACGACAATCAACATGCTGAATTTAAGTTTGGACAGAGGGTTTTTTTTTTATTTGCAAAAGAGAAGTATATTCTTGTAAATCTTTTTTTTCCAATGTTGATTGTTGCAAGCTTAAATCCTCACTATTGAACCGTTGCGGCCATTCCTCAGCCAATGCTGCCTTCATCCAAGAAAAGGCAAAATCGCTTTTGTCCATTTAATTAACCATCTTGAGACTTAAATCAGGAAGTACATAGAGAAGAACTATGCTGTAGTACTTAAGAGTCTCATACCGCATTCCCAAGATCTTGTTAGTGGCAATTGCATAATGTACGTCCTATGCATTAAAACAGCATATTACTAATACAATAGCATGTAAAAATAATATCTTAATCGTGGGTACTAATATAATATCTACATATTAGATTTGTATATTAATACTAGTTTATTTAGGCCTCAGGCGTTGCGTGAGGGTGTCCAATTTTGCTTATGATTTTAGTGGAAAATGTGGAATATTTAAACAGAAGTAATATGTAGTTGTAGCTAAGAAAGTAGCGCTCAGTTTAGGTTACAAAATGCCTGAGCAAGGGGCTCTTAATAAGCTGTAGACAAAACGAAGTGTGGTGATTTGGTAGCTGGCAGTAGTAGATTTGTCTGCTTTCTATTATGTACATTGTTAGCTGTTAGTTAGCTTTGCGGTGCTGTGCTTGGCTGGCTATGGTTTCTGTTAGTCGCTTTTTTGTATTGCCTGAGCTTTCTGCTCCAGTGTTTTTATCTTGGAAATGCTCTCTATTCATCAGAATCCTGTGAAGCTTGATTGGTAGTCCTCTCTTGTGGTGAAGATTGATTGTTGGGTGGTGACTTTGTGAAAAGAAGCAATAACGGGCAAGCATAATAAGCAACGAAAAAATCCATACAAAATAGCTCCATGCATCCAACAAACGAAGCTGATAACAAAAGCTTCTTCAATCCAATAACTTACACTTTCACTTATAGTTACTGAATCCACACATGCAAAGGCAAATCTCCACTAATTTCAAAACCTGGGCTAATCACCCATACTTTCAAGTTGATCTAACATGCAACTCTATAGACACATTCTAAAGACAACACAATTTCGTAAAAACAAGCAGTTATAGGTGACCATATTACGCAAACAAAGTTTTCATACAAAATTCCGAATGAAAACAATGAATAGGCAAATGCAAAAGGAAATAACAATAAGAGAGCAACTTACCAACAGTATTCAAAGTTAGCACAGAGCAACTGGAAAGCAGAGAAAGTATATATACTTTAATACCTACAGAACGTGCGAGCCATATTATTGAAATGAAAGCAAAACAGCTGACATGATCTTCATTTTATAGGAGAAATTTGAGGGCTTTGATCACAAGGAATTCACAACAACGGACCAAGAGAGTGCCAACAAAGAAAGCACTAAAGAAATTAAACAAAGCATGCAAAGTTGCTTATCACTTAAACAATAGACACCTAAGCCAACCATTTTACTGTCTTGCCAAAAAAGGGCATTAAAGTAAAAACAACCCACAACTAACAAACTGCAGCACATTCACTTCACTGCCATGTCAGCAACAACATTTGCAAATTTCCAAGGAAGTCCACGCACTAATGGTGCCCATAGAGGACCTCAGGTTACTGTACTTAACATCAACTCCCATCTTTATATTCTTAGGATTTCTGTCTTATTCGTTGTTCGTTGTTAAGTGTCAACATCTGTTGTGCTAATTCAAGTCATTATGACACGATTGTCACTCACAATGGTCGGAGAGCCAACCCACTTGAAAGTTGGGACTGCCCCAAAAAATAAAAATCACAATGGTCGTCTTTCTGTCTCTGTCATTAATCCTAGTATTTGAAGGGGCAGTCTCTGGAGTGAAGAACGCTCAAAGCTCTTCAGCTACGCATATACAAAGAGAATGGAAGAAGGGTTGTTAGTAAAAGAGAGAGAAGTGAAGGCAGAAAGGCTAATATGGGGACTTATAGGCCAAGAAATGAAGAGACTTTGCTGCATAGCGGGACCTATGGTGGGTGTGACTCTATGCCAGTTCTTGGTCGAAGTTATATCTTTGATGATGGTTGGGCACTTGGGTGAACTTTCACTTTCAAGCTCCACCATAGCCATTTCTCTTTGTGCTGTTACTGGCTTCAGTCTTCTTGTGAGTAGCCTTTACTTTGCCTCTTTTCTTGGCCTTATTGTTTTTTTATATGCTTGTTTTTACATGTGAGCTGCTTCTACTTTCTATTCTATTTTCTGTCACCATAGCATTTCTTGTCACAGTTTTTTCGTTTGATATGTTCGAGGCAGAAGGAATGAAGGGTAATTAAAACTTAAAATTCAGTCCCAATCTTGATTAAAAAAAAAAAGTCTGATGATTATTGATTAAAAAAATGTTTACAAGATTTAGCTTCACAACTATGCACTTCTTTATGCTTTTCCTCCTTCCCTCTGACGATATTGTGAAAATTTTAGATGTTGTTGCTTTGAATAAAGTGATTATTCTCTCTCTTTTTTTAAAAAACATCTTACAAATAATTGAACGATGTTACCAGTACAGTAGTCCCAATATGGTAGTGCTCCAAGTCAAATGAATAAGGATTTTGAAGGTTGAATAGAACCATTAGTATTGTTACGTATTGAAAAATCATTAGCTTTATCCAAGGATTTCTCATTTTCGTTTTATTCTTCGTTTTTCTTGTCCTGATCAGTGAAGAGAATAGAAGATATGACTGTTGAATATTTTGATAGCACGAGTCAAAGAACTTTTAGAATTAGGAATGTCATGATTGGAAAGAATACTTTGCCAAATTCCCGTGGAGATACTTTTGTTACTTAAATATCCCCTTTCAATTTCCTGTTGATTAGTAGTAGGCAGTAATGGTGTACTTTGTTGTAACACTTCAGCTTGGATGATAAAGGTCAAAATCAAAGTGGATGATAATTTTTGCCATCGGTGGTTGATTAAATAAATCTTAGCAATGGTTGAAAATTGACCAGCACCATTTACACCTTATGCAGCAAGATAGAGAAGTAGAATTGTCAAATTTTGCACAATGCAGGTAATTGGGATTTAGGGCCACAAGATAACAGAATTACATGTCTTGATCTTTCCTTCTACCAATCTAAATTCCTTAGGCATTTTCAGAAGACACAAGGAAATGGTTTTGCTATCAAAAGAGAGTATAGAAATGTGAAAAAGTTGAATGCTCTTGCTTCTTCTTTTTTTCATTTTGGTAATTCAGAGTACTTTTTGCTAGTTGTATTAGCAAGGATGGTTGGTTATTTATGTGCATACAGTCACTTTGAAAAAGAGATGTCACCTTCTCTTTGTGGTAGCACTGCTTTCTGACTTTCAGTGACAATACAGGGTAAAGCACTTAGGCAGTTGTGACTTGTGGAACCATTGTGTGTAGCATGGTTAAAAAGAAAGATGACGTTTTACTATGCTAAATAGAACTTTATGTTATTGGAAGTATGACCCATTTTGCCTCCATAAATTAGAAGTCTTTGGAAGATTTTATTTTGGTAGCAAAGAAACGAAAAAGGAAAAGTGTTCTCCATAATTATTCATTTTATAGGTGATGGATAAGTAACTGCGGAATTGTACTTCATAGTCACCTGTTATGCAGGAATATGAGTGTCAACTTTCAGATGGTCATGGTAGAGAAAAGTAAAAGAAGAAGCCTTCACCATAATTTTTATTGTATAGGTGATAGCTAAGTAACTATGCAACTCAGCAGCTCTAATCATCAGTTGTGAGGGAAGATGAATTTCAACTTTCAGATACATGGTCTTGCCCAAAAATTTCGCTTTGCTAACTTTTTTCGGAGATTCTGTGACATTTGTCCGTTATGATCATGATGATGAAAAGCGGAAGCAATTACATTCATATGCTTACAGCATAGAGAATTGAAGATGCAAAATTTTCAAGACTATTGCTGCCATCTTATATGTGATTAGAAGATTCCTGGCATGACAAAGAGTTCTATTAAGTACCCCTGAATACAACTCATTAGAAAACAAGTATCTACATATACAACTCTAGAAAAGCTGTGTTTTTCGGTTTGCTCAATGCTGCCAGGCCATTTAATCCGGTGGGGATTATGAACATGGCTGGTTTTCGGAAGAACTGATGGGGAGATGACAGTGGGAGTGGCAGTGGTGATAAATGGTGGTGGCTTTAATTTGCAAAAGTAGACCCGGTATAGTACAGAAATGACTAGGAGTAGTACATTTGGCGTAGATGCGTTAATTTGAAGATAAGATTAGTGACTTACTATTGTAGGAAATATAGTAAATAACTAATCTAAACTAAACAAATGCAGAGACTTCGAGGTGAAAACACTTTCCTTAAGGTGTTATTTGCCTCTATATTAGACAAATTACCTCTAGAATACAACAAAGTTTAAGAACTATCAATGAAAAAAGTGATTTAATTCTGTAAAAGTCCTACTATTTTAAAGAATTGAAACACCTATCCAAGATACTATCAAATGATGCAATCCTTATTGAATAGGTGTATAGATAGTTAACCATTTAACAGATATGTCTGCCAAATGTAACTGTCATTAATTACCTCTAATTAATTATCTAAAATAAATATTTTAGACAATTAATTAACACCCTACCCTAATAAAAAAGCCCCAAGGTCCAAGGTGCCCCAAGTGCCCAAGTGCCCTTGTCAAGAAGTTTTATATATCTTTCAATTCATATTCAAGTGTATGAGATATAAACTGAAATAATTTTCCCACCAAACTTTCCCCCCAAACTAATATTTTGGAACAAGTTTGTTAAGGAAACAAGACAAAGATATATATATATATATATACACACACACACACACATATAGACAATGAGCACTCTATCCTCTTTCAATGTGAGACAATAAACTTCAACTTTCTCATTAAAAATTAGGGAGAATTGTAATTTTGGTCCCCATGCCAATCTATAGTGTACGCACGGAATTATCCCCAATCTATTTCAAAAAATAATTTTGGTCCCCAATCTATTCAATTTTGCGCTAAAGTGGACAATTGACGGAATCCCTTCAATTTCAATCGGAACTAAGTCACGTGAGATCACGTGTCGGCACCTAAAACCTCTTTTTCAATTTTTTATTTCTAAAATACGTTTTTTTTGGTGGTTTGGCTTTTGGCATGGACACTTCTGTCCCTTCAACCAGATCAATTTCCTCCTCGTCAATTCTTTTCCAATCAAAATTCTGAATTAGAAATTCCAAGGCCAAACCCACCACCCGCTGTGCTAGGCTAGAACCAGGGCAAGATCCTTCCCATCCCAAATGGAATCAGCTTTGATGGCTGAACCTGCAAGCCTTCGGATCTCTCTGGCTTGAAGCTTGTTGGATCATCCCATACGTTTGGGTCCCTGTGAACTGCCCATGCATTAATTAGCAAAATTGTGCCTTCGCGGAATATTGTATCCCCCAATTTTATAGTCATCGTATGACTCATGTGGCACTAGCATTGGTGCTGCTGGGTACAACGGAAGTGTTTCTGAAATAATGTTATGAAGATAAGGAAGATTGGATAGATCATGTTCGTCGACCAATCGATCAGTCCCTACTTGAGCATCCAATTCAGCTCGAGCTTTCTCTAGCACCTCGAGATGGTTGAGCAAAAGAGACAAGACCCATTCTATAGTCACCGATGAAGTGTCTGTTCCAACTGTAAGCATGACCTACCAATTTTAATTGAATGCTTATTCCAGTTCAACGGTGAAGAATGGCTAATAGGGAAAGAATATACTTACCAGTATAATCCCTTTGATGATTTGGTCCGTATAATCCCATTGATTTCCAATTATTATCATCTGTTCTTTTATCTCGGTTGTTTGCTTGCTTGCTTATGAAGTAGTATTGTTGCTGCTGCTGCTGCTGCTCCTGTTGTTTGTGCAGGAGAGTTGAATTGGGTCCGTCTCTGGCATTGATTACAGATTATCTCCATTACTAATGGAGGCAAGAACGAGACTTGGACTTGGAGGCCAAGCTGAGCTTCTTACTCGTGCCATGGGTTTTGGGGATTTGAAGGCAGCGGCCAACAAGAGAAATAATTTGGATTGTGAGATTACCCTTTGTATGTCTTTGTTTAATAAGACAAAAGGCAAGAGAAACCTGAAAATATTAAAAAATGTGTTTTAGAAATTAAAAAATTGAAAAAGGGGTTTTAGGTGCCGGCACGTGATCTCACGTGACTTAGTTCCGATTGAAATTAAAGAGATTCCGTCAATTGTCCACTTTAGCGTAAAATTGAATAGATTGGGGACCAAAATTGATTTTCGAAATAGATTGGAGATAATTCCGCACATACACTATAGATTGGGAACCAAAATTACAATTCTCCTTAAAAAATTATTACCAACAATCCCCCACTTAGTTTTTAATGAAATTAAATCAGCACTTATATTATCTTGCATAGAGAAAGGTGTTTGTGACCTTAAACCCTTTTCTTAGTGTAAGTATTTCACTTGTTCTAACAAGTCATAGTGGCTACGTAGCTTAAACCATAACTTTAAAGTTAAAACAGAAATAGCACCCACAAGATTATATCCTTTTCGGAGAATAGTTTCGGAAATGATTTTTAGCACTTTTACTGGCCGTGTGCTCCATCCTAGATTCGTGATCATTTACAAAAGAAAACCCCCACTTTTGCTATGAGCGGCACCACTCCCATGATCATATAGGTGAAGTACATTTCAAGCCTTTATTACCAAAGCACTATGAAACCATTTTTAACTTCATTAAGAGCATGATACTCTGCCTCTTAAGCATCAAACTGCACTAGTACCTTGCAATGGTATAATACAATTTCTAGTGCTCACAAATACTTATTAGTAACTTGTTATTACCGTTTAAACTTTTCATCTAGTGTTAGTGCTAGAACAGAGATTGCGTTACCATTACTAGTAGTTTTAGACAAAAGCTTTTAACCCCATTCCCAATGACGTTGCTTTCATTACATCTCTTCAGGGAGCATTAGTGAATAGATCCGCTAAGTTGTTGAATGATCTAACATACACCACTATGACTATGTCATCATTTAATAATTGTCTGACATATTCATGTCTTAGGCTTATATGTCTAGACTTGCCGTTATATATTCTATTTAACGCTCTAGACATAGTGACTTCACTATCACAATGCAAAGAAATGGCTGGCATCGATTTCAGCCACAACTCGATGTCTAACAGTAAGTTTCTTAACCATTCAGCCTCTTTGCATGCAGCTGCTAAGGCTACAAATTTAGCCTCCATGGTGGAATGAGTTATGGCAGTTCGTTTCTTTGATACCTAAGAAACAGCTCCTTCACCCAATGTAAAAATCCATCCAGAAGTAGACACTTTGTCACATACACTGGTTACCCAACTTGCATCAGTATAACCTTCAAGTACAGCCGAAAATTTGTTATAGGAAAACTCTAAATCTTTTGTCCTTTTAAGATATCCAAGCACTCTACCTATAGCTTTCCAATGTTCTATACCAGGACTCTTAGTATAGCTAGCGAGTCTGCAAACTGCATATGAAATATCTAGCCTAATACAATGCATAGCATATATTAGACTACCAATTGCACTAGTGTACTCTAATTAAGCAATTGGCTTTCCAGAATTTTCAAACAACTTAAAGTTAGGATCATAAGGAGTGCTTACTTTTTTCACCTTCAAATGTTGATACTTGTTCAAAACTTTCTCAATATAATGAGATTGACTTAAGAATAGCCCCCGCTATGTTTTTTAACTTTAATTCCTAAGATAATATCTACTTCTCCTAGAGCTTTCATATTGAATATGGAAGATAAATACTTTTTAGTTTCTTCAACGCTTTTGTAATTAGTACCAACAATTAGCATGCCATCCACATATAGACAAATTATCACACCATACTCTCTAGTAAACTTGGAATAAATGCACTTATCAGCATTATTATATTTAAAACTATTAGAGAGTATAGCAGATTCAAACTTTTGATGCCACTGTTTAGGTGCTTGCTTTAAACCATACAAAAATCTTATCAGTTTGCAAACTTTCTTTTCATTTCTAGGTAGAACAAAGCTTTCTGGTTGATCCATATACACCTCTTCATTTAAGTCACCATTTAAAAAGGCCATTTTTACATCTATTTGATGTACACACAAATCAAACATTGAAGCCAATGCTAATAGTACTCTTATAGATGTAATTTTGGCCACTGGTGCATAAGTATCAAAATAATCGATTCCCTCTTTTTGCCTAAATCCTTTAGCTATTAACCTTGCCTTAAAAGTTTGTACAGAACCATCAGTATCATATTTTTTTTGAAATACCCACTTAAAACCAATTGACTTAGAACCCAAAGGCAAATCAACTAGAATCCAAATATGATTACTCAATAATGAATCCATTTCATCATTAATTGCCTTTCTCCAAAACGATGCATCTTTTGATTTTATAGTTTCACTAAAAGTTTTAGAGCCATCTTTTACATTTAACAAGACAGGAATCTTGTCAAGTAGAAATTGTCTATCGCCTTCAACTGAAAAAGCAATAGCTTGTGAATCTATAAAATCAGAGGATAAATGTTTTTCCTTCCACTGTCTTTGACTTCTCCTCAATTCACTTGGAACGTCGCCTACATTCCTTTTATTATTAGTAGAGAGTCCAGCATTGGACATGGGTAGTGGCTCTTGACTTGAATCCGTACTCATTGTCGAATTATAAAAAAATTTATCATCTAAAAATTCGACATCTCTAGATTCCACAATGACATTAGAATCTAAATCTAGCAATCAATATGCTTTTCAATTTTCAGCATAGCCTACAAACACACTTTTAAGTGCTCGAGGTTCTAATTTAGTTCTTTTATGATCAGGGACTCTATAAAAGGCTATACAATTCTAAAATCGAAAATACGTCAAGTTTAGTTTGGTTTTCCACCTTTCCATAAATCATATGGTGATATCTTGGATTTAAGCAAAGTTACTCGATTATGTATATGACAAGTAACCAGTAAAGCCTCTCCCCACAAATTTTTAGGCAGTCCAGAACTTATAATCATAGCATTTATCATATTTTCTAAAGTTCTATTTTTTTTTTCTATCAAACCATTTTGCTGCGGGGTATATGGTGCACTAGTTTGGTGTATTATCCCATTTTCTTCACAAAATTGAGAAAAATTAGTAGGGAAATATTCTCCAGCTCTATCACTTCTCAAAATTTTAATTTTCTTTCCTAGTTGATTTTTCACAAGATTTTTGTAACACTTAAACATGTGAAATGACTCATCTTTCATTTTCATCGAGTAAACATACGCATATCTTGAATAATCATCAATGAATGTGATGAAATACCTATTTCCTCCTCTTGTTAGAAACCCATTTAATTCACAAACGTCAGAATGAACAAGATCTAACAAATAATTGTTTCTTTCTGCTTTAGGAAAAGGTAATCTGGTCATTTTTGCTTGTATGCATGTTTCACATCTTTTTTCAGCATTATCTTTAAACGAAATCAACCCATGTTTAGACATAAACTGCAAAATTTTATGATTACATGTGCTAATCTACCATGTCAGAGAGAATATGAAGCATCTACAACATACGCAGAAATATTATCTTTATTGATACATAGTTTGAACATTCCATCACAAAAGTATCCCTTGCCTACAAATACACTATTCATAGAGAAGATAACCTTATCAGACTCTAGTATAGCCTTTAGCCCCTTTTTGTTTAAAGCATCAGCCGACGCAAGATTTTTCCTAATTTCTAGAACATGAAGTACATTGACCAATATAAGTTTCCTTCCTAAAGTAAATTGCAAGTCTACACTTCCTTTGCCAAGAACCTTTGTTGTATTATGGTTTCCCATCAATACTTCATGACCATCAGGAACTTCTTCATAAGTCTTGAATTGGGACTTATCGTTACAAACGTGCACAGTGGCACCAGAATCATAGCACCAGTTACACGATTTGGTTGCAGCAGCCATATGCAACTCAGAAATCATGCCAATGTTCTAATGTGAAACCATTGCAACAATCTCAGTAACTTCTTGTTCAACCAGATTTGCATTTTTGGCATTGTCTTTCTTTTGCTTTTTGTTGCAATCTGCCTTACATTCACGCTTGTAATGTCCTTTTTGCCATACTTATAGCAGACTCTATTCTTTTTCTTGTTCTTAGATGTATTTGCTTCTGGAGACTTTCTTTTGGAACCAGAAAAATTCTGTGAATTCTTCTCACTTAAAGCATTCACTTTAATATCAGATTCTGTTTGCTTCTTTTGAAGATTTCTGGTATCTTCTTCAATACCCAAATGTTTCAGAATCTGATCTATAGTGAATGTTTCAGTAGTGTTGAGCAACTTTTTCTTATATCATTCCAACTGGTTGGAAGTTTGGCTATTATTGCTCCAACGTGCAAAGATTCAGATACTTCCATAAGAGAAGAATTTGATCCATAAGAGAAGAATTCTCAGTGATACGAAATTCAAAATATTGCATAATCAGAAATTTGTCCACACCTTGTTTCATCGTATTATACTTGTACTCCAATGCATTCCAGATTTCCTTTGACGACTTGACTGCAGTATACAGATCATACAAGCGGTCAGAAAGAGTATTCATGATATGTTCTCTGCACAACAACTCGTCCTCTTCCCGTTTCTTGCGTTGTGCCTTGACTTCATCAAAATCATCATCTTTAGGCACTGGAATTTCAGGAAGTGAAGGATCTAGAACATAAGCAATCTTCAAAGTTGTCAAGAAAAACGTCATCTTATCCTTCCAACGGGAGTAGTTAGTGCCGTCGAATCTGTCCAACTTGACAAAGTCCTAATTCATCACTTTGAAAGCGGATTCAGAACTTGACTCCATTGTTGAGAATAACACCTTAAGATTGTAGGAAATATAGTAAATAACTAATCTAAACTAAACAAATGCAGAGACTTTGAGGTGTGAAAACACTTTCCTTAAGGTGTTATATGCCTCTATATTAGACAAATTATCTCTAGGATACAACAAAGTCTAAGAACTATCAATGAAAAAAGTGATTTAATTCTGTCAAAATCCTACTATTTTAAAGAGTTGAAACACCTATCCAAGACACTATCAAAGGATGCAATCCTTATTGAATAGGTGTATAGGTAGTTAACCATTTAACAGATATGTCTGCTAAATGTAACAGTCATTAACTACTTCTAATTAATTATCTAAAATAAATATTCAGACAATTAATTAACACCCTACCCTAATCAGAACGCCCTAAGGTCCAAGGTGCCCCAAGTGCCCAAGTGCCTTTGTCAAGAAGTTTTATATATCTTTCAATTCATATTCAAGTGTATGAGATATAAACTGAAATAACTTTCCCACTTAACTTTCCCTTTAAACTAATATTTTGGACCAAGTTTGTTAAGGAAACAAGACAAGGATATATATATATAGACAATGAGCACTCTATCCTCTTTCAATGTAAGACAATGAATTTCAACTTTCTCATTACAAACTATTACTAACAACTATGAGTTCGTGAAATGATTCTAATCAAAATGGACAATTCATTTTTTAAACAGTCAGGGATGGCAAGTGCTCTCGAAACTCTATGTGGGCAAGCTTATGGAGCCCAGCAATATCTAAAGCTTGGAACCCATACGTATACTGCTATCTTTTGTCTCCTCATTGTTTGTATCCCTCTCTCTATCATCTGGATGTACCTGGGAAAAATTCTCGCTTTGACTGGACAAGATCCTCTGATTTCACATGAAGCTGGAATATTTGCCACCTGGCTTATTCCAGCACTCTTTGGCTATGCAACTCTTCAACCACTTGTTCGGTACTTTCAAATGCAAAGTCTGATTTTTCCCATGCTCGTAAGTTCCTGCATCTCAATTTCTTTCCACATACTCATATGTTGGGTGCTTGTACACAATTCTGGATTAGAGAATCATGGAGCTGCATTAGCTATTGGTATTTCAATGTGGTTGAACGTAATTATTCTCGGTTTGTACATGAGCTGCTCTTCTTCCTGTGAAAAAACCCGTGCTCCAATTTCAAGGGAGGTGTTATACGGAGTGAAAGAATTTTTCCGCTTTGCTATTCCTTCAGCTGTCATGATATGGTAATCTCCATGTTTGCATCTATTTTAGTGCCTCAGAAATGAAATATCTTTAGGTTGTAAAGGATTTGGCATTGATAATTGCAGCCTTGAATGGTGGTCATATGAAATTTTGATTTTGTTATCAGGCCTTCTGCCAAACCCACAGCTTGAAACATCTGTCCTATCTGTCTGGTACGTTCTTATCACCCTTCTGGAAGAAACAAAGGGATAAATTGATCTTGATGCAATAGCCTAACTTTTCATTGGGATTCTGTGAACAGCCTAAACACTATTGTTACACTATATGCAATACCGTATGGACTTGCTGCTGCAGTAAGGTATGTTGAACACACGGGAATCCATTTTTGCTGGTGTCTCTTTGGTAAATGATGAAAATATGCTGATGTTAACTGTTCATTTTGTTTTTCTTCAGCACCAGAGTTTCAAATGAGTTAGGAGCAGGAAACCCAGAAGGTGCTCGAGTTTCTGTAGTTGGTGTGATGGTTCTTGCTGTCACAGAGGTGATAATAGTAGATGGAGCCCTCTTTGCTAGCCGGCATGTTTTTGGCTATGTTTTTAGCAGTGACAAAGATGTTGTGGATTACGTCACAACCATGGCTCCCCTAGTTTGTCTATCTGTTTTAATGGATAGTCTACAAGGAACCCTTTCGGGTAAGTTTATTCTCTTTTGTTTTGCTTTCTCTGCATTGTTATATTGGAGGGAAAAGGGAAGAGGGGATTGAGGTTGGATAATTGGCTGCTGTTGCCTTGTAATCCAATTGCTTCTTTCAGGTGTTGCAAGAGGATGTGGCTGGCAGCATATTGGAGCCTATGTCAATCTTGCGTCATTTTATCTTGTTGGAATTCCTATTGCTCTTGCATTAGGTTTCATGGTAAAGATAAGAGGGAAAGGTCTTTGGATCGGTATCCTATCCGGTGCTACTGTACAAAGTTTACTGCTCTTTATTGTAACAATATGCACAAATTGGGAAAAACAGGTCTTCTGTCTGACATTTTTCTTAAATCTGTTGAGCTACTTAGACCAAATCTGGAAATGTTTTGATTCTCTTCATCACTTAGAAGCCTTCAACTGATGCAGGCAATAAAGGCACGAGAGAGGCTGTTCCAAGAAAATGTTTCAGCTGAAGAAGGACTAATGTGATACGAAGAACCTACTGGTAATTTGAACAACTTCAAGCTGTAATTGAAGAAATTACAGAAGAATTGGATGATAGTTCTCATTGGCACCATAATCACAACTTCAATATTGACTTCTTCCATCTTTTGCAGCAAGTTGCTGTAATCCTGTTATGCCTTTGATGGTTGTATGAAGCTGGAGCTGAGGACTGTTATTGCCTAGAAATTGCTAAGGATTGTTATTGCCTAGGAATATATAGCTAAGGACTGTTATCCCCTGGGAATAGCTGTTCTGTTGCTGCTCCTTTTGGGAGGTTTAGAGACAGGTTAGTGACTGAGAAGTTCCTGTCTGTTTGTAAAATTTACTTCCGGAGTGAAATCCCTTCTCTACCACAGGAAAATTTACTTGGAAACAGTTTAAGTGTCAAAAGATCAAGCAAATCAACAAGGTTTACAAGCACAGTAGGACTGATCTTATGTGAATCTTTTGTCTTATGTTACTTTTTAAGGTTGATTGAGATGCATATTGGCTGATATATATATATATAAAGCATATTGGCTGCTAAGGATCCAATAACTATTAATTGAGTAAAAAATAAATACAACAGTTTCAAAAAACTAATATATAATAGAAAATTAAAAAATACAGCAGAAAATTCATAAAATATCTCATTTTTTATGTATTTTGATTTTTTGAGTTTGTTAAATTTTGTGTATTACTCAATTAATAGTTATTGGATTTTAAGGAAATAAAAAAGAATTAAAACATGATGTTTGTGAAGAAGAAATAGCAATATAATAAAAAGTGGGATAAAGAGTAGCACAGGGTGTGGGACAGAACATCCGTTGCGTATTTAGACCTTCACTACATTTTATGATTTTTCATACTTAAACGTTAGAGACAATTTAAGAAACCTTTCCTGAGATTTTTAACAATTTCAATGCTTTCCCTTGAGATTATAGAAATATCGCTTACCTCCCCTATCGGCTATTTGGAATCTAATGCTTACCTCATTGATGCTCAAATGACTTTATTACCCTTATAACATAGGAAATTTATCATAGTTATATGGAGAGAAATAATTTAGTGACTTGTACTAAATTAACCATTATTTGGAATGTAAAAATTTTGAAAATCTTGAATACTAAACTTTTTTTTAATGATAATTGTTAACATTTTAACATTTTTTCTATATTTTAGTAGTTCTTGTAATTTCTTCCCCCAAAAAAGATTAAAATTTCTATTGAGACATTATTATTTCATAAAATTTTCATGAAAATAACAAGATGAATATGAAAACACACAAAAAGACGTAAACTGTTAAAATATGTTTACAATTAAATATTATTAAGTTGCAAATAAAATGTAACTATACATAATCTACTCTTTCCTTTCTTTTCCAAAATTTTTGGTATTTTTTTATTTTCTTTGTATACATAATTCAAACAAGATGTTTAGAAATTATTTTCTTTTGCTTTAATTTACCTGTTTTTCTATTAAAATCATTTCCTTTCTATTAACCCAAACATGCTTGAGAGTTATTATTATTTTTTATTACAAATGATGAAAATTTCTTAGTAATCATGTGAAATAATGGACCTCATAAGTGAAAGAAATAATTCAAAGAACATAACATATTTTAGCATTTTTTATATTTTTTATTTCTTGTGGTTTTTTCTTGAAGAGATATTTTTCTTTTCCAAATCTTGTTCAAAATCTTCTGAATTCTAATACTACGAGTTCCAAATTCTAATACAAAGAGAAATTCCCAATACTACGTGTATATATTGTTCCAAATTAACAAAACTTCCTCTCTAATTCTTTAATTCTACTATTTTATGCAATTCTATGGAAAGTAGTCATTGTTGCTGAATTTTACCGTGCTTATGCTAGTGTTATAATATTCCTCACTTATATTGAGACTCTCAAACTTTAGGTTCTATTTGGGTTGCAACTTTTTAGAGTTTTTATAGAAAAATATGCGGTATCAAGGTGATATATATGAAGAAATAAAGATGGTTAAAAATATGTAAGAAAAATTTTTTCACAAAAAAAAGTAACCCAAATATGCTTTTAGTCTTTATTTTCTATTTTAACTAAAATTCCCTTTTGATTATAAGTCAACCCACTAGTAATAAGGTGAAGGGCACTTTTGGAATGAAATATTCTTCTCACTCTTGAAATCATTTTTTATTGTTGATTTTTTAGAATTGAGCTAATTTGTTACAAGAAAATTAATTTTAAGGGAGGTTAGCGATATTTTTAAAATTTCAAGGGATAGCAGTGAAACTGTAAAAAATGACAGGGCGTAATTTGTTATTAAATTTATGGTTAATTTCCCTTTTTATCCTTGACAAATATTGTTTTAATTGTTGAAGTATACTTATATTTGGTATTTGGACCTAATTACAGGAGGCGGAGTAAAAAGTGCTACAAAGGGAGACTTTCTTGAGAATATGCTGTGCATGTGGGAAGCTTCCAGAATAGTTACAAATTTGGCTCCACGATGTGCTAAACCAATCCTTTTTCCTTTTGTGACTAGTAGTTTACTAGTATTAGGAAACAAGAAAAAAGTAAATTTTGGTTAGCTGCTTTATCTTTGTTTGTTTCCTTATTTGGCTAGGAGACTGACTAGAATAGAGCCTAGTCATTGTTTTAGAAACCCCTGGGCCAATGGCTCAGTGGTCACTAGGGAGGGGCTTAAGTCCCTCCTTGGGTTGTTGGTGAGGGTTCAAACCTCACTTGCAGCGAAAAAAATCTAAGAGTTGTGCCATAACACTCCCTTGGTCTAGTTAGGTCTGTATACCCACTAGCCCCTTACCACAACCTCCTTAGGCTCCCCCTCCCCCTAGATTAGAATTGAGTAGGTTATACAAATGTATCATTGCTGACAAAAAATTGTTTTAGACGAGGATTCTTTTTCTTTTCGTCTTTGCTTGGAAGCCACAAGACAGGAGCATAGTTTTTCCTCTTTGTTCCTTTACTTTTTGCATGAAACATATTACATTGTTTAGGGGGAACACGATTTGATGTTCAAAAATTCTACGTGTTGGCGTGAGAACTTCTCTATGTGGCGTGGCTAATTTCTTGATCTAGTCTGAGATCAACTCAACGATACAGTCCCAAATATCTGTGAGATCGAACTAATCTCAACTCATTCCTTCAATTTTTTGATATTTGTGCATTCTCTATTTTAATTTCTAGAGATTATTTCATTAACTGAATGACTAGGATCCGATATTCAAAGTGACCCAATAATCTATTGCCAAATTAATCAACTAAATCCGTAATTGTTTAGTCAATTAATATTAGTGGTAACTAGCGTTTACAGACGTTAGGGGAACGTGCAATCTAATTTAAATAACCCTCTTAGTGTGTTATTAATTAGGGTTAGGCTTTTCTAATTCTTCATGCAATTAGAAAATTAAATCCTACGGTCGTACCTACAGTTATTTCCGGGTTAGGAGTGATTAATGGTTGTACCTTGGTCATCAATAAATTAAAAAAAAGGTTGATCGTCAGAACTTGTTGACGACTATAACTAACCTGTTAATGAATTGAGCGAACCATCTTTGCATTAATGATCGGATAAATGGACTGTGTCTGTGAGGTTGTATTTTTTACTAGAGTTTGTCTACCATCGATTTAATTCCTACTTACCTTCGTGAATATATTTTATTAATTGGATTATTTATTTATTTTTATCTCTGTTTGAGTTGTTTAATTATTCCTAATTTTATAAAAATCCCCCGCTCTCCGTACTTTAGAAGAAACAAATTTTTCTCAATTTCTGTGGATTCGACCCTACTTACCAGTAGATACAAAATTTGTATTTAATTTGAGCAAGTATTTATTATTGTACTGGCTCGATACCTGTCAGAAAACCTCGAGGGAGGTTTCTGAAATTATCCCTAAATGTTATTATGACTTGATCAAGTGTGTCTTCCATCATAAATAAATTTTCCAACAACTTTTTTTAGCTTCTCAATCACCTTGTTATCTCACACATATATATTATATTGTAGAAAGTACTATAGTAATTATTTCAAATAATCTCTTTTTTTTTCAAATAATCTCCTATCCAAACAATGTCATAACAATCAACATGCTGAATTTGAAGTTTGGAAAGAAGTTCTTTTTTTTTGTTGTAAAAGAGAAGTATATTCTTGTAAATCTTTTTTTTTTTCCAACGTTGATTGTTGCAAGCTTAAATCCTCACTATTGAACCGTTGCGAACCATTCCTCAGCAAATGCTGCCTTCATTCAAGAAAAGGCCAAAATTGCTGCAAGGCCGCTTTTGTCCATTTACTATACCATCTCGAGACTTAAATCAAGAAGTACATAGAGAAGAAATATACTGTAGTACTTAAAAGTCTCATACCGCATTCCCAAGATCTTGTTAGTGGCAATTGCATAATGTACGTCCTATGCATGCATTAAAACAGCATACTACTAACACAATAGCATTCAAAAATAACATCTTAATCTTGTGTACTAATATAATATCTACATATTAGATTTGTATATTAATACTAGTTTATTTACGCCTCATGCGATGCCTGAGGGTGCCCAATTTTGCTTATGATTTTAGTGGAAAATGTGGAATATTTAAACGGAAGTAATATGTAGTTTGTAGTTAAGAATGTAGTGTTCAGTTTAGATTACAAAATACCTGAGTAAGGGGCTCTTAATAAGCTGTAGACAAAATGTAGTGCAGTGATTTGGTAGCTGGACAGTCTTAGCTATGTACAATATTTACATGGTATGTTCAAAAGGTAGTAGTAGATTTGTCTGCTTTCTATTATGTACATTGTTAGTTGTTAGTTAGCTTTGTGGTGCTGCGCTTGGCTGGCTATGGTTTCTGGCAGTCGCTTTTTTGTATTGCCTGAGCTTTCTGCTCCAGTGTTTTTATCTTGGAAATGCTCTCTATTCATCAGAATCCTGTGAAGCTTGATTGGTAGTCCTCTCTTGTGGTGAAGATTGATTGTTGGGTGGTGATTTCGTGAAAAGAAGCAATAACAGGCAAGCATAATAAGCAACGAAAAAATCCATACAAAAATTAGCTCCATGCATCCAATAAACGAAGCTGATAACAAAAGCTTCTTCAATCCAATAACTTACACATTCACTTATAGTTACTGAATCCACACATGCAAAGGCAAGTCACCACTAATCACCTATACTTTCATGTTGATCTAACATGTAACTCTATAGACACATTCTAAAGACAACACAATTTCGTAAAAACAAGCAATTACAGGTGACCATATTACGCAAACAAAGATTTCATACAAAAATTAGCTCCATGCATCCGATAATAATCGAAGCACAAATATCAGCAAAGGAATCGACAGCCGAATGAAAACAATGAATAGGCAAATGCAAAAGGAAACAACAATGAACAATAAATAAGAGAGCAACTTA